TAAGTCGTTATAACGAGAAAACAACTCTCGTTATGTCGATATAACGAGAAAATTAAGTCGTTATAACGAGAAAACAATAAGAAAAAAAAAATGCATGGCCGCTTAGAACTTCCGTACATTCAGCCATAAAACCTCTTACATGCATTGCACATTAATTCACAATATACGTATTTATTTAGTTAGTTAGTTTACAAGACTTCTTATTTTGTCTCTTCTTGAAAAATTGCTTGATATGTTTTGCTGTTTGCAAGGATTTATATTTTGACATTTAATCTCTGAATGCCTGTTTTCTGAAGAATAACTAAGGATAAGTACAGCTGATCAAGTGATCTATTTGAATTCTATTGAGAAATTGCCACTTTAAAATGCTATGGAGAAAGTCAAACATTATCTAAAAATGGCACATAAACTAAAAACATAATCTTGCACCAGCACTAGATGCATTTTTAAAAGGCATTATTGGCCTGGTAATAATTAATAGGCTAGCCCTATTATAACAAATGCTACAGTTAAGAACTATATGGTACATTTTCATAAGAGCAAATACAAGTCATAATCAATAGCCAATTAGCCATGTGTAAAATGGGTTCTAATGATGAGTGAAAAACCTGGGCTGCGTTCAGCCCCGACAAAAACGGTGCAAAACGTTTTTTAAACGGAAACGGTGATGTGTTGAACACCCTGTTCTGATGACGCAAGAGTTGCGACTATAGCAGCTGAGAAGGCCATTCTTTGTGTTCTTTTTGAAGAATGTTCAGAGCCTGATGAAATCGGTTTAATTATGTGTTTAATGCAGCAAAATACGCTCAATGTTACAGTCACTGCCCTTGCCGTCCAGAATAAAAGAGAACATCCCAGTCGAGTGAAGGAATTTGTGAAAACTGTGGTTCCTAATTATTGTGATCCAACATTTGCCTCGCATTTCAGGATGAAAAGACAAACATTTCAGGTGAAGGATAATCCACTTCTTACCTCCGAGACTGTGTTATGATCTATATGACCTTATTATTTTTATTGTGAGTATTGACACACCCACCAAACAAGAGAAAACTCATCTCAAAGCCCGTTGCACACCGTTTCCAGAAAACATGTCGTTCAAAACGGAAACCGTAGCAAAACGGTGCACACCGGTTTGAGCTTGAACTTGCCCCTGGCCTTCAGATATTCCAAGAGAAGGCATAGATTAAATCATTAAGAGCCTGATGAACTGTTAAGGAGTAAGAAATAAACAATATCAATATAAGAAAATGTTAAGTTAGATTGACTTCCAATGGCATGTTGAATTAGAACATTCTGTCAAACTATAAGTGCCTAAATAATATAAAATACATTATATATCCTATGTAAACAAGTAATTGTTAACTAGGCAATTATGTTATCGACCAACTTTGCATGTGTGGATGATGCCACAAAAGACCATTTTACAAAATAAACATAAGCAAACTAATTGTAACGTGTTTCGATTTCTGTGTTAGTTTTCCTTTGACCTAGTTGTCTTAATTATGCCATTCTGTTCACATGTGTTTTAATTCATTATCTCATTAGTCCCAGTGTTTAAATACCCTCCTTCTAGTCTCTGTCCCTCTTATGTTCAGACTACACGATATTTTTGTCGGTCACGATAGTCACTGTGTCAGATTACACGATTTTGACTCCTAAAATCTTGTCATGTGTGGACAAGAAACATGTCAGACTATGGAAGGCCGTTAGGGCCAAAACGTGTGGTACTAAAGCGTTAACACGAATAACGGCCTTCCATAGACTACATGTTGCTTCCCGACCATTCGTCGCGTGCCGTCTTTAACGACGCGCGTGATGTCATCGAGAAGGCGGAACTAGCGACTGACTTCCGAAAACAAGAGTGTAAACATTGCTGAAGCGCTTCCGCTATAGTTCGCCAGCATTTTTCTTTCTTTGTTCTGTCGTGGTAGTCCACACATCATACAGGCAGGAGTACTGTTGCCACAGCTCCACGAACCTTTCCAAATGAACAAAATAAAAATGTTAATGTATGTAATCTGGGGTGGCACTGTACTTGAAAAATAACACTCATCTCCCTAAAGTGGTAGATGAGTGTTAAAGAGTCTGCAATTTTAGAGTATGTATAATGTATGTCATAGTTTGCGCCAGCATTATTATAGTAAAAGTTCATAAAATAAGGTTACACTGCTTCAACTATGAATTTTTGAGGAGCTATGCTGTCAATAAATGCTTTTCAAAATGTTTTTATTAAATCTCCCTTTTAGTCAG